TTCCCTTGCCTTTCTCCTCTCTTTTGTCTTGAACTGAATTTCATTGGTTTATTTGGTATCATCATCTTATACAAAGACAAGCTGAAAAGCAACTTGTCAGCAGTCAATATACCACATTACATCATTGAGTGCTTAGCCTAGGAGCGGGTAGAATGGAGATCAACATGTTTTAGTGGACTCAGCAGTTTTCAATCTGCTTGTCTGAATCATCTTCAAGAAGCGAGAGCAAGAACTAAAAGGTCAGCCAATCTAACAGTGATCTCATCTCACAATCCTCACTCTTGCTCCATATGTGGCCTCCTTTGTAAATCACTAGCGGGTCTTAAATGCCACTTAAGATTATCGCACAAAATTTCAACTAAGCTGTCAGATCCTCATACGTCGAAACCGACGGGAGAGTCTATTATTATTATTATTATTATTAATATTATTATTATATATATATTTAATTCTGGTAAAATATAATACACAGTAGTATCCACTGTAAATATAAAGTAGGGAGAGTTTCAAATGTGCATAGGATTTCAAGAGATATACAAACATTTCCCAACAATACTGCAAGGATTTCAACATGAGTTAGCGTGTTGAAAAAAAATCTAGGAAGAATAAAATGATAGCACAGGTAAATTAAGCAGGATGTGTGGAACTTGTCAAATCATTGGCGTAATTAAGCAATATACATATGAAAATACACCTGGATTCTTTTTTTATCCATCTTATGCTGAGTGGAACACTGTAAGCAGATGTATTTCTTACCTCTTGAAGGGTACTTCCACCCATCCCAAAAATTCCTTCTCGGGTAACTTACTAAAAATAACTAGTAGAAAATACACATATGTTACCAGAGCCTGAAATTGCAAAAGAGGAACGATATTTGGCAGAGTGGTCTCTAACGCTTCAGAAATTATATATTCGGCGAACTGTGTTCGAGTCTGGGTGTCAGTAGTTGATGGAATATCCACGCTCGGTTGATTGTAAAGTAATGAATGCATGAGGGCGCTTACTTAGACAGGATATGAGTCTTGAATACCCATTTAAAATAACTGAAAGTTCATAATAAACAGTTAAATGGAATTATATTGAGCATGGTGTAATAGATAGTGTCTCGGAATGCGTACTTGGAGAACCGAGTTCGAATCCTAGTCAAGTATGATGCATTCGTTTACGCGCAAATATCATTGGGAAAGTTATGATTATATTTGTTCTCCACCCAGTTGTGGGTAAATCGGGCGACAGATTTTGCCCTATAGCCTTGGTTGGTAGGTAGTCTTGGAGAAAGAAAACTATGAATTCAATCCAGCCTAGAGATAGTCGGGGTCTGTCAGCTTATCCTACCCAACACACGGCTGCAGTACATGTGGTGTCCCTACCACCCTAATGGGTTACAGGACTCATGGCCTTGGTGTGGTGATAGTCAGTGTATTCCAGACTCTATGTTTTTTTTTTTTTCATTTTTAAGGCCATATCACTTCAGGGTGTAGACGATCACGACCCCACAGGTGACTTTTCTTTATTATCTATGAACTATCATGCCTTCTTCGGAAACATAGTAGAGTGTCTTTCCGTTTTCCCTTTTCACGGCTTGATATTAAGACTTTTCCTTCTTTTAGACTGGTTGCCAACCAAGGTTACGTTGTCTAGTCTACTCTGCCATTTAACCCCCCGAGCTGGCGAGGAGGACGAGAAGAGACGGATTCATGCCTTTTTCAAGGTCACTTCTAACACCTTATCACTCCTTTAATCTATTGATTTCTTGAAGCACATTTTGAACAACTTGCATTGCCGCTACTTACAAAGGAGGTAAGGGAAGTTAAAGGATAATTTCTAATGATACAAATTACAACATCACATTTTAAAAGTTTATACGCTTCCATGAAAGTACATAAGTTGACTGTCAGCAGGAATGCGTTTATACAACTTCTTTTTTTGCCTTCTCATTCAATCGCTAGACTTTTTTCTGCAGTTAAATGTAAAAAAAAAAAAAAAAAAAGAAAAATGCAAACAAATTTACAGAGAAAATATTTGCTGAGGTTTCTGGTGCTATGTAAATAAGAAACTATCGCGAGTCTTCGTGGATGGTGGAAAGTTGCGGCCATATTGAAGAATGTAAGGATTTTGTACGCTAAATTCTTTCAAGACGATATTTTAAATGCAATTTTATATAACATTTTTGTTTTGAACTTGAAAGCCGCTCTATCGGACGGCCTTTAAGCCAACTACCGCAGCGGGCTCTTGATTGGGCCTTCGTCAAGGCAACGCGGAGCAGATACGATAGGCAACAATAAATTATAGAGGAACTCAAAATTGATCGCTACATTTATGTAGTGCATTAATATTTAAGCTTACCTTTTAAAAGTTCAACAATAATTCTTCTGACGCCCCTTAATTTAAAGACAATTTGATGTACGTAGGTCCTTACTTTCTGTATAAACAATTATTTTTATTTCATGGGTGACTTTCACTGGATTTCGCAACTAATTTTGAGTATTCCCAGATTTATTTCCAAGTTATAAAAATTGTCCAGATCGTGTCACAGAATAATTGTCCATCCCACAAATTGTTTAATATCTAAAAAAAAAAAAAAACCACTAAACTAATTGAGTTTCTTTTTTTTCCAGATTTAAGACGTTTAGCCATCTTGATGCCATTTCTCATAAGAATCGCTGAAAAACGCTTTGGGTTATTCAGCTAGAATGAGAACAGGTTAAAATCGTTTTGTATCAGCCCTATTGTCTTCTCAACTGAGCAATCGTGAAAGGAAAAGTATCATTCAGGCCTTCAGTAATGATACCAACATTCATACACTGGCTTCCATCTTCAAAGTCGAATCAAGTACCACCGAGAGAACGATGAAAAGTTTAAAAAATAGTAGAGTGGAAGCCTGGATCAGAAGATCACCGCAGGTAGAGGGATCAACAGATCAGAGAGGGGGTCGTCCATCTTGAATAAGTTGAAAATGATCCTGGAATATATATATATATATATATATATATATATATATATATATATATATATATATATATATATAAACTTTATTTCAATCCTTCATGAACTTCCGATATTTAGCTATGATTAATTAATGATGAACATGTCAGGTTAATCACGATTCTTCTGTTAAGCTTGGAGAGTAATTCTACATTTTTATTGCTCAAAGTAGAGTTCAAAAATCTTCGGAGAATTTCAGTAAGATATCCTTAATCATTTCTCAGATACAACCGTTCAGAGCTTAATCTTACAATTGGATAATTTTGCTGTTATATATTTTGCTAATATATATACATATATATATATATATATATATATATATATATATGTTTTTTACATGTCTGAAGATTTGAAGACGTTTTTTATCGACTTCAATGAAATAAATATCACCTATGGTTTTTTAAGTGTTTGTTTTTCATTATATAAAATTATATATATATATATATATATATATATATATATATATATATATATATATATATATATATATATTAATTCATAAACGGAAGGGGTAAAGAGTTAAAAGAATAGAAAAAGTGAGAAAGAAGCCACATTAAGACCGGTGAGATTTTGGTGGATTCTTGACTGAATGTGTTAATGAGAGCGAATATCAATAGCACAGCCGTGTTGGTAGAGGTAATTTAGGTTTTCTGGTCGAGACAAGGATTATCCTACTATTAGGGGGGGGGGAGTTAGGAATCGTAATTCCCATTTTTTTTTTACATTGTACACGGATGGATGTGTGCATAGTGTAGCGTTAGTTCAAATTTCACCAGAGCCGATTGATTTTGTTTTCGTATAAATACCTTATAAATTCCTTATAAGGATATATATTCCTTATAAGGATATATATTTGACATTCATTGACACCAGGTAGTCAGTACTACTGTCGGTTGAAATTTATAATTTTCTTCTATTGAAACAAATTTTCTGGAAAATAGTTTCTTCAAGTGCAGTAGCTGTTATTGCTCTTTCAACTGTTGATGGAGATTTCCTTCCTTGCCTTTTGTCTGATGTAGTGCGGGATTTCAACATCTTGATTATATCATTTTTTCTCTATTCCACTTACATGTGATAACCATTTTAGTAGTTGCCGCTATTGAAAGTCCTTAATTGTTGTACTTTTTGATATCAGCTCTTTGTTTGTGATGCTTTAACGCTAGTCAATGAATTACGAAGGATGGTCCTCATTAAGACCTACACTCGGTTGGAGTCATTTTTAGCCATCGAACTGAGAAAGCGGTTGTATACAGCCGCCCATTTAGATATTTCTGAACGAGTTTGTTCCTACGTATGTTATCCATATGAAAGTTTTCATCTAAAGATGTTATTTAAGCAGAAATACTCGGGGTTTTAGGTCAATGTTTCTATGTTGTAGCAAGTTGCTGTTTGAGGTGAAAACTACTTCTAACTCACTCTATTCTATGTTCAATTTCTTTATATCCTCTACTAAATTTGTTGTGTTTGAATCTACCGAGATATTTGAAGTATTTACTATTCACTATTAGGCTGGTGCAACAATAATGACGTAATAATGTCGTTTTTTAACGTATTTTTAACGTCAAAAAACGACATTATTACGTCATTATTTTTGCAGCAACCTAATATTTCACATTCTGAATTTTTATGTTGGATTCAGAGTTGGCGCTATCACTGCTTTCGTTCCAATTCCAGATTATGTTTCTGTTTTGGAAAGGTTTATATTAAGTCCTGTTTCTTGAAATGACTCTTCTCAAAATGTCAGAAATGGCCAAATTAGATCTTCTTTTATTTACTTGCGTTTAGGTGGATATTTTTCACCCAAAGGTATTTTGAAACAAGTATCTTTATTGTTGTTGTTATTGTTGCCTTCCGTTGTGTTGACAGCAGTAAATGCGTCTCTTGGGTTGAAGCCAATAGACACACAACTCGGAACCATGTCACCTTTCAGAGTATAATGACAAACGAACAGACGCAAAATGAAATCGGAGAACCGAGTTCGAATTTCGGTATCGGTACTGCGGTGTCTGTATCACTTATGCCCGCCTACATTGCCGTGGATGGCATGAAGCTAATTCATTGACGTTGGTCACAGCAGCAGTCCATTTGATAAAGTTGTGACAGGTAGAAAGACAAGAAAGGAGAAAGATATAGATAGAAAGAGAGTGTGTAGTGGAAAAGAAAGAAAGAAAGAATCGGAAATAATAAATAGGGAAGAAGAAAACAAAAAGTACTGAATATAACAGTAAATTAATAGGAGAAAGAAATAAAGAAGGAAAGAAAGAAGAGACAAAAATAGAATAAGAGAAGAAATAAAAACAGAAACAGTTAGTGAGAATAAACGAAAAGAAAGAAAGAATGAATGAATGAATGAATGAACAGACACATGGAATAAAAGAATAAAGGAAAAGAAAGAATGAATGAATGAATGAATGAATGAATGAATTAACAGACACATGGAATAAAAGAATAAAGGAAAAGAAAGAAAGAATGAATGAATGAATGAACAGACACATGGAATAAAAGAATAAAGGAAAAGAAAGAAAGAATGAATGAATGAATGAACAGACACATGGAATAAAAGAATAAAGGAAAAGAAAGAAAGAATGAATGAATGAATGAATGAATGAATTAACAGACACATGGAATAAAAGAATAAATAAAGGAAGAAACAGTGACAATAATTGAAAGGGAAAAAAGAAATGTAAAGAAAGAAGGAAAAAATAGGAAAAGAGAAAGAATGAAAGAAAGAAAAGACTGAAAGTGAATAAGAGAAGAAATAAAGTAAAATTTAGAGACAATAAACGAAAAAAAGGAAAGAGGAAATAAGAGAAAGAAATAGAATAAAAGAAAATATAAAGGAAGAGACAGTTAGTGAAAAGAAAGAAAGAAAGAAAGAAAGAAAGAAAGAAAGAAAGAAAGAAAGAAAGAAAGAAAGAAAGAAAGAAAGAAAGAAAGAAAGAAAGAAAACAGAAAGAAACAGAGGGGCGAGCATCAAAGAACATAGAGGAATGAAAAAAGAGAAGAAATAAAATAAGGAAGAGTTAACGACAATAAACAAAAAGAAAGAAAGAAAGAAAGAAAGAAAGAAAGAAAAAGGAGATGATCAAAGAAGAGAGAGGAATGAAATAAGAGAAGGAATGAAATGAGAAAAAGTTAACGACAAAAATCAAAAGAAAGAAAGAAAGAAAGAGAAAATAAGAGACAGAAATAGAATAAAATTAAAAAGAAAGAAAGAAAGAAAGAAAGAAAAAAAGGAAAGACAGAAATACAATAGAAGAAATTAAGAAGAGAAAGTTAATGACAATAAAAGAAAAGAAAGTGGAAAACAGACAATTGGAATACGTGAAGAAAGAAAGGAATAAAATTTAAGGGCAATAAAAGGAAAGAAAGAAAAGAAAAAACCTGTTGATTCAGGTCAATGACTGATGAAAGTTGCAAAATCTATTTAATGAAACAAATTATTTCAGAAAGTAAGAAAGGAAAGATCAGTTAATTGTGTTAAAATGAAAGCAAGAAACATAAAAGAAAAGACAACGAGAAATAAGACAGGAAGTGTTAATGAATGAAAATTCGGGTGAAGAAAGAAAGAAAAAAAAATGACCGAAAGAACGAATGAAAGTTAAGAAGCAAATTTAAGAGAGGAAAGCAAAGACGAAAGAATAAACGTGAAAGTAGTAACTCGAAAGTGGCCGAGTGTTTACTGACAGATAAGTTATTCGGATAATTACATAACTATTCGCTAGTCTATAAAAGAAAAGACAATTGTTTTCAGCTGTGAGAAAAGCAAACGGTTTCTTAATTTCGCCTACAGAAATGACAGGTCCAAATAATTTCATCGCTAACGTTACTACTTCAGTAAGAAGCCACTGTAAATCGACGGCTGGGGATTTACTCGTTATCAATGATGACGTCAAAACATAATATAAAAGAAAACGGAAATATTATTAACTAGCTTAAAAGCCCGCCCTATCGGGCAACACTTAAGCTAGCTCCTGTGGAGGGCTCTTCATTGGGCTTTCATCAGAATAGGTAGGGAGGAGTAGATGCGATAGGCAACAATAAACTACAGAACGCCTCAAAAATTGATCGCTGCATTTAAGTATTGCATTAATATTTAAGCTTACCTTTTAAAAGTTTCTTCTGTTGCCACTTAATTTAAAGACAATTTGATGTACGTAGGTCCTTACTTTCTGTATAAACAATTATTTTTATTTCATGGGTGACTTTCGCTGGATTTCGCAGTTAATTTCAATTATTCCAAAATGTATTTTAAAGTTATAAAAATTGTTATCGTACAAAAAAATCGTCGCAAAAAATCACGTAAAAATTCACTGAAAATAATCCCATTAATGAAAACTTGGGAATCCAAAATTTCAGGCTTGCCGGTCCGTATCCGACCCGGAATATTTTAACTTTCTCGCCTGCTCGGCCTGATTCCAACATGGTATATGTTGGGCTTCGGCCTCTAGGAGTAAAGTTGAAAACACAGACACTTTTATTTTGAGATATTGTAATTTGAGTACAGCCATTTTTTTTTTTTTTCATTTAAAAAAGAGTTACAGAAAGAGAGTTGTATCTGAAAACAATCCCAGTAATGAAAACTTGGGAATCCAAAGTTCCAGGATTGCAGGTCTGGATCTGGCCCGAATGTTATTAATTTACCCCCGGAGTCGGCCTGATTCAAAAATGGTATTATAAGTTGGGCTTCAGCCTCTAGGAGTAAAGTTGAAAAAGCGTGACACAGTGACACACTGACATTCACATTTATTATATAGCCGATTCCTTTGCAGCCATCATCAGCATCAGCCATCGCTAGTCCATTATAGACATCGAAGTTAAGCAACATCGAGCCATGTCAGTAACTAGATTGGTGAGTATTTGAGAATACTAGATGCTGTAAGATTGGATGTGCGGGTGGTGTAATGGATAATAGTTAGAAATTGTCAATCGAAGTGTCGAGTTCCAGTTACTGTTGGGTTCGTTATGTGCAAATACCTTTGGAAAATGTATGAATCCACCTCTTCTCACCCCAGCTATGGGTTAATTAGTAAGATTTGTATCACTATATTATTATTACCTCCCAAAAGAATTTCAATAGAGCAATATGTTTTTTAATCATTTCACCCCAAGCAAGACAACAAAGCCACTAAGACGCAAACAGTTATTGAGTGTGAAATAATATGAGGAAAAGAAAAAAAATATCAAGGGGACGGAAGAATGAAAGAGTAGGAATTAAGAAGAAAGAAGATAATGATTGACATGGCATTTAAATTTTTGAAGATCAAAACTGAATTGAAAACAAGAAGCCGGAAAAGATTTCACAAGCAAGAAGTGCGAGAGAAGAAACTGTTAGCATAGAACCTACGGTTACATCTAGCCATTTCAACTGTAAAATGATGAGACATGGGACCTTGCCGTCAATATAGTACTGCGTAAAAATTTTTAAAGTCTAGGTACCATAAAGGAAAGTTTAATTACCATGAAAATATTTATAGAAAAGGCACGGAGAATCTACGTTATGGCTTTGGGAAAGCGACTTTAGCGGAAATGTCTGGTCAGGACTTAATAACATTCTTAAGATTGATTTTTTTTATATACATGTGATATACCGTACGTATGAACACTAATGGGTATGTCCCAATCCTCATAAATACGTTGGAGAATATTGTAATTGGGAGTAATATGCCGTGTCGAACTCTCTGCCTTCGGGAAGAGAGGAACCCGGACGAGGCTATGCCGAAGGGCAAAGTCTCATCCGGGGAGGTAGAGAGATACCTGATCCCGCGCATGCGGGGTCTACGGGCAATTTTTGCCCGGGCCCACGGGCTCGGATTTCCCTACAGGAAATTTGGCTTTGTGCCATATGCTACCTCGTGGGGAGGCAGGTAAATATCGTAATATGCTGTCAAAGTAGTCCATCACTAGTATTGTACTTTTCATTGATGTTATAAAGATTACCATTTCATTTCCAACATTCCGTTTTGGTTATTTCTCATTCCTCTTTAGGTTAGAACAATATAGCAGGAGAATCAGACCAGATGTGGCAGCATGACCAAATGGTAGACTTATAAATACGTTAGATAGATTCTGGCGAGAGAAAAATGTCTAGGACGACACAGTGAACTGACTTTGTTAGCTTCAGACTTGACCTTTGATTCAATATAATCTTTTCATGTCTTGTCAGAGGAAAACGTTAATCCGAGAAGGCTTAATGAATCACTCTTCTGAATGTTAGCATCAGCCATCAGTATGGAAGATGAAAAGAGGCAAATCGGAGATAAGGAAAGAGAGACACAGCCAGCGAGAGAGAGAGGGGGAGATGGAGAGAGAGAGAAAGAAAGAGAAAGAAAGAGAGACAGAGACACAGAGAGCGACGGCGAGAAATGAATAAAATGCAAAAACGATGTAGATACAAGTTAGAATAAGTAGCAGAAATTTTGTAACACGTTATCCGAGATAATATGAAAACACGAAGAAACCCGAAGAGAGAACCGGCCGAAACCTATTGATCAGAAGAATCAAAATCAAAGAAACCGAATCACTCATGTAAATATGGAAATAACTCGTATGAAGATTTCTGAAAATGGTTGTGTATTTCCTTTTAGTGCATTTGTTTGTTTTGTTTTTTTTTTAGTTTTTTTTTCCTTTCTTTCTTGAAGTGCTATTCTTATCCGCAGTTTCACTTTCCGCGGTTTCAGCGATTAGCGTTCAACACCAGAAATAAACATTTCGCCAGTCTCCCTTACTTTCTCTTTGACCCCAGACCGAAGGAGCGGCGGTGCTTGCATATCACAGATGCTAGAAAAGCCGTAAAATGCCACCTTTTAAGATAAATACCTGTAAGTTTCGAAAAAAAAATTGTATCATGTCATTACGATCAATTACTGTAAGATTGAATTTTTTTCCTTAGCACGGCTATGGAGTCACAACGTCACAACATTAGGTTTTGCTACTGAAGTTTTCCTTTTATTTTTTTATTTAAGCATGTTATTATATTCTTTTGTGTACCGTGACTTTTCAAGACGAGGGCTATCATTGACTGTCCACAAGTTACAAGCCTTCGTAGTTTATACAATCCATTCTTCGTTCTGAAATCAATTTACACAAGCACGTTACAGTTGGTTTATTACCGTAATTCCCCATGTATAATACGCATTTTTTCTAAAAAAAATAATAAGCAAAATCAGAGGTGCGTATTATGCACACGTATAAAAAATCTTTTAAAAAATTGCCGTAAAAAAATAAAATAAGAATTATCATAAAACTAAATTAGAATAATATTATTCTATGTTTAAAAACATTTTTTTTTATTAAATAAGAGTAGGAAACACTGAAATTGGAGAGGTACAATTTTGATTAACAAACAAGGGCTGCGTATTATGCATGAGTAGAAACATTTTCCAACACTTTCAGCAAAATTTTAGCGGTGCGTATTATGGACGAAAGCATATCATACATGGGGAATTGCGGTAGTTATTGTTTCAATCTCTTATACTGCCTAAAAAGACGGACAGAAGTTTTATTCTTATATATTCTGATAATTGTTTTATTTATTATTAGTAGTTATTGTTAATCTCTTATTGTGCCTGCTTGGGAATATCAGGTGCCGTAAGTTTTGATGCGGGGGTGATATAAAGAGCTTACGGCCGCATCACGAGAAACACCGGTCCTCGTACGATCAATGAAGTTAAGCAAGCACGCGCCTTGTCAGTACATAGATGGGTGACCACTTGAGAATACCGGGTGCCGTAAGTTTTGATGTGCGAGTGATATGAAGAGCTTACGGCCACATCACGGAAAACACCGGTCCTCGTACGATCACTGAAGTTAAGCAAGCCCGAGCCTGGTCATTACATAGATGGGTTACCGCTTGAGAATACCGGGTGCCGCTTGTTTTGATGTGCGGGTGATATAAAAAGCTTATGACCACATCACGAGAAACACCGGTCCTCGTACGATCACCTAAGTTAAGCAAGCCCGATCCTGGTCAGTACTTAGATGGGTGACCGCTTGGGAATACCAGGTGCTGTAAGTTTTGATGTTAATTGTTAATAGGAGAGCCGAGTTCCAATTGTAATCGAGTTCGTTATATTCACTTATATTTTACTTAGGTATACGTATAGAACGAACGAATCTTCTATCCGTCACATAAGCTTTATTCTTGTAGATACTAATAATTGTTTTATTTATTATTAGTCTTTATTGTTAATCTCTTATTTTGCCTAATAAGACTGACAGTAAGAACGGAATGGGGTAAACGTCGTCATCACTAGTGACCACTCCAAACATCTTCGTAATCACCATTAGAGCCATCCAAATCTTTCCGAATCCTCTGCACTGTCCTCAAATTGGCACCTAAACACTCTGAAATATTCGTAGTGGATCTTCCGGCGCGAATGACAAGCAGTACAGCAGGCCGTTTCCAAATTTCTGTCTGGTGCTCTTTTTCTCACAAACAGTACTCAACTAACCCTATTATACTATGCAGTCAACAAAAAGAAGCAATGCGCATGTGCGAAATTGAAGATATAAAATGGTAACAATTTATCCATCGCACATCGCACCCTATCTATCTATCTATCTATCTATCTATCTATCTATCTATCTATCTATCTCTCTCTCTCTCTCTCTCTCTCTCTCTATATATATATATATATATATATATATATATATATATATATATCAGTCTATATTTCTGAGATGAGGTATTGTTTCTATTTATATTATTTACCTTGTTCGGACTGTTCCTAATCTTTATTGTCATATTCGCGACGTTTCTGACGTTGTACCCTCCGGCCCTCTTCAAGTAATATACGTTGGAATTTCAAACAGAAAACTTTATTTTGTCCACTAGGGTACATTTTTCTAGTTCCACGTGTCATGCCTTTTCTGGATATCTCAGTATTAGTTATTTCCTTTCAGTAACTCATCTCTTCAAATTTTTATTCACCTCTGCTGTGGCCAGGTATTGAACTCACAACTCTTTGGGTCAAGTCACTGGATTACATCAACCATCGCTTTTATGAATGATAAAAATTATGAATACATTATTTACGAGTGAATATTTTTGACTTGTAAACCTAATTCCACCGTAGTGTTTTTTTTGTTGTTTTTTTTTTACTAGAGATCATTTTACATTTAGTTGTTATTGTTGTTTTTCTCGAGTAATCTTTATTGTTGCTTCATATATTGTATTAATGTCAATGATTGGCCCGGCTTACGAGATTTTTTGTGGCCTAGGATATGCGCTGAATCAGAGCATATGCGAAGACCCACAAAACTCCTATTAAATGTAAATATATATATATATATATATATATATATATATATATATATATATATATATATATATATATATATATATATATATATACAATGTTTATTTGGTAAAGTTGTGACAGGTAGAAAGACAAGAAAGGGGAAAGATATAGATAGAAAGAGAGTGTGTAGTGGAAAAGGAAGATATTACGTGACGTCCGCGTCTCGCGAAGGACGCTACTTGCTAACAAACAGTAATTTTAATTTATTTGTAACAAACAGTTATTTCTGATGAAAAATTGAGGACAATTTGAAATATCAAATATATATATAAATAAATAAATACTTTCATAAAATGAAACATTATAATTTTCAATTTGAAACTTTTTCTATATATATATATATATATATATATATATGTGTGTGTGTGTGTGTGTGTGTGTGTGTGTGTAAAATATGTATATTTATAAATGTAAATATATATATATATATATATATATATATAGTCTTAAGAGGTGCTATATTTATGGGACAAAGTGCTCAATATCAGAGATAGAGCGTGTGTAAATATAAAAGTGAACATAGAAATCAACACTTAGAGGCGACTGTCTGTTTCATGCTATATGCAATCGTCAGGCTACCCACCATATATATATATATATATATATATATATATATATATATATATATATATATGCAATTTCTTATATATATATTATTTATACATTATAAATGCCCGGTACCTATTGAAATCGCTCAATATCAGTGATAGAGCTAACATATTTAGTTGTAAAAGCGTGAAACCCAGGGTTACAAACTCATATCCACAAACGAATATATATATATATATATATATATATATATATATATAGATAGATAGATAGATAGATAGATAGATAGATAGATACATAGATAGATAGATAGATAGATAGATTGACTCGTTTTCGAAAAACCCTCGAATTTTTGATTTGCTAATAATCAAATCAATCTCGAGGGAAAAAAGGTTTTAAAAAAAGAAAGAGCTACAAACATGAACTTCCTTCGACAAAAAATCGTACAGATCCAGGTCTGAAGCCCAAAGAAAAAACCCCGATGCGAGTAAAACTAACTAACAAAAGCGATCAATATAACTGTAGAGTAGACCTAGATACACCTAGTGATCCAGACCTAAACGGATCGTCAGGGAAAGTAAGCCTTACTTTCCCTGACGATCCGTTTAGGTGAAACCTAGGTAGGTTTGTCTGGCTCACTCGGTGTATCGATATATATATATGTGTGTATATATGTGTCTACTACATATATATATATATATATATATATATATATATATATATATATATATATATATATATATATATTATAAATTAATTGATTTAAAATATGTTTTTTTCGCTACACAGTTCCAACCATGTTTCAAAAAATAGAAGCTAAAAACCCTGAATTTAATTTTGCAATTAAATTAAAAGCATTAGTTCCATTTCATCTTCAAGCGAATTTTGGAGTAACTTTTAAAAATTACCGGGTTTTAAAGACACAGCTAAAATCACGTTTCCATGGTTATAGAATATTCTACTTAAATTGAACAAGGGATGTCTAGATTTTCCTTATGTCAGTATCATTGTATCAGTTATTAGCTACAATTTGGTAAGGGGTAGGGATGTATTTTACAATGAAACCTGACATCATTTGAATGGATGTCGTCTGGATTTTAAAAAAAAAAAAAAATTGTTAACGGTAGCGAAAAAAACCCATATTTTAAATCAATTAATTTATAATATTAATGGTCTGTAAATTTACATTGAGCACTATTTTTTAAAAATAAAAATATCTACAAGAACACCGGATTTTATATCTTACTGTTCTTTCTTTTTATTTATATACATACATATATATATATATATATATATATATATATATATATATATATATATATATATATATATATATATTAGAACTTCGTAGTACGAATACACCCTTATACGAGAAACTTGCTTTACGTGAACATATTTAGTTGTAAAAGCAATGCAATATATATATTTTTATAACATGGAAGATTGCAAGCTTATCCGAAAATACAAGAATTTACTAGTCTCCGCGTATTCTTACAAGAATAGAAAAGATTTCTTAATGAACTGCATATATGAAAAAATCGTTCCATCGGGCTTGTCCAATATCATGAAATCATCTTCACATATTTTCCCTGACTATATCAAACTTTACCTGGAATCATCAGTAAAAGATTTAAAGTTTTCCGAGGAACAAACCTTTTTAAAAGCCACACTTCTAGGACGTGAACTAAAATTGAAAAACAGCATGTCTCGCATCACAGCGGAGAGACTTCGATCCGAAGTGACCAGAATTAATCAAAAACACATCAGGAGTTTAAAACTAAAATTCCATACTTTATGTGATCGCAGCTGTTGGAAGAATATGGGTAGAACGGATCTAGTTACCAATGTTTCCAAAACCACACTCAGCACTTTGGAGATTGAAGCCCTTAGTTTTAGTCTAAAGTTTGCAACTGGTTCAAAAGACCACAATATTAGCAAACTGATAAATATAAACTACAAACATAGTGATTCTGACTTCCTTAAAGGTTTAACCCAAGGCATTTTAGCTGCCTCTTTTAATGGCCAAAATATGGAATTCAATTTACCTAAGAGGTATATGAATGCCTTAAAAATCCTTTGTCTATGAATAATAACATTATTATATCTCCTTCTGATAAAGGAGGCGGTGTTGTTGTCATGGATACCATTGCTTACAACCAGAAAATGTTGGACTTGCTTAATGATAGAGACACTTATGAACAGATCACCTCTATACAAATTTCTAAGAATCTAAAAGAATTTAATAGGTCCTATAAGAAACTCATATGTAATGAAGATAAGATTTGGCTTTCCTTATTAACTACCACCCGACCGTCCCTAAAATTTATGGCCTCCCCAAAACCCATAAGCTTAACATTCCATTAAGGCCCATCATCTCGGTATAGGCTCAGCTCCTCATAATATCGCTAGGTATTTAACTAAATTTCTAACTCCAATTCTGGGCACCGTAAGTAACGCACATATAAAGAATTCAGGCTCTCTTTTAAATAAGTTGAGAAATATTGATATAGATAACAAATTACTAGCTAGCTTAGACATCAAATCTTGATATACTAATATACCTGTTGATAAATGCATTAAACAATAAGAGAACCACCTTAAGAAAATTGACTTTAAGCTACCTATCTCTATCTCGAAATGCATCAAATTATGCATCCTTTGCACTTCACATTGTTTCTTCCAATATAATAATATTTATTATAAACAAAAATTTGGTTTACCGATGGGGAGTCCTCTCTCTGGATTCCTAGCATGCATATTTCTAGAATTTCTTGAATCTGGACCTTTTAAAGATGTCATTCCACCTGATACACATTACTTTCGATACATCGATGACATTTTATTTATCTACCCACATAAGCATGATTTAAACGAGATTACTGATAGATTAAATAGAATAGAACCTACTATAGAATTTACCTATGAACTTGAATCTAATAATTCCTTACCTTTTTTAGACATATTACTCATTAAAAATAAAAATAAATTAGAATTCAAAGTATATCGTAAACCTACATGTAAAAATGACTATTTACATTTTTACTCTCACCATGATACTAACACTAAGAGGGGTATTGTTATTGGATTCTATTTGAGGGCTCTTCGCATCTGTTCATCAAAATATTTAAATGATGAATTTACATATATTGAGAATACCTTTTCAA